GGCGCCGCGGCGGCCAGCAGCATCAGCAGCGGCAACAGCGACCGCAGCAGCGGGGCCGGCGTCGTGGGCAGCCCGAGGTGCGCCCCTTGGCTGCGGCTGGACATCGCTCCGCCGCCGTGACCTGCGCTCGGCTGGACTGGGAGGCCGCTCCGGCGGTGACAGCTGTTGCAAGAGTTGCTTTTTGACCCGCAGCCGGGCGCCGCGTCTCAGAGGCTAGGGCTTCCTTAACTTTACTGTTTCATTAGCCCTGCCTGTTAAGGGCTTCTAGAGGCGAGGGAGCCTCACGTGGCCTCGGCTACAACCTTCGTCCTGCTCAGCGCCGGCCTGGGGAAGGCGGGTCCTTTTGGTCTGACCCTCTAGCAACCTGTGGGCTGGGCTGCCATAGTTCCTGAGTTGTGCTGCTGGAATCTGCCGAGGCTGCGTGCCACTTTCTCTGGACAGTTTTGAGGCCCCAGGTTTGAATCAATCAGTCACATCAACACCACCAGCCTCTGCCTCCAGAGTGGCCACGGATGAGGCACCATGACTAATGCATTCCCCTGCCTACAAGCCGGTCTGATTTTTTGCCATTCTGGAGAAGTCAATGAGTAGGAAGGTCTTCACTGTTCGTACACCTCGGGGATTACTACTCCTCCATACAAGGGTGTCTAATCTAAACCCAGTTACCGCTGCTCAAGATTTTTGATCCTTTGCTTTTTTCTACACTGACTGACTCACCACTGGAGTGTGATTCAGACAGGTCTGAAACTGGAGATCTCCCTCACCCGTATGAAATCCCCATTTCTGTGAGTGGCCAGTTGAAAGTGACATTGTGAAGTGAGCAAAACTATGTCCTAGATGGCATTGTGAAGTTGGCAAAGGGGGCCCTAGGTGACATTGTGAAGTAGGCAGACTTTTTATTCATTTAATAAACATTTATTGAGCCTAGCTTATGTGCCAAGTGATATAAAGACAATTAAGACCATAACTTACACAGGCAAGAAGGGGACAAAGGTACACTGAAGTTGTCACTAGTGCTGTCTAGAGCTATCCTTAAGGTACAGTGGGGGGACCCAGAGGGGGACAAGCCACCCACCAAGCACGTGGGAGCCTAGGCACCTTACTCTTCTTAAGGTACGCCTTTCTTCCAAACTTAATTGAGGTTCAAGGGAAAATGGGGAGGGAGACACCTTTCCTCGAGAGGAAAATAGATTTGTAATTGTTAGAAAAGATCCTCAACACCCCCCCACAAAAAAAAGCCCGTTGCCATGGAGTCCATTCCGACTCATAGCGACCTTATAGGACAGAGTAGAACTGCCCCATAGGGTTTCCAAGGAGTGGCTGGTGGATTCGAACTGCCAACTTTTTGGTTAGCAGCCAAGCTCTTAACTATTACACCACCAGGGCTCGAGAAAAGATACAGAGCTATTAAAAGTACATCAAATCGCTGTGTAAACTGTGAAACACAACTCGCAATTTTGTTTGGTGATAGCATCTATCGCCATGCTGGATGATCATATTTTATTAATGAAGGAACTGAGGACATTGTAAAAACTGCACATTTTTCATCAAGTTAGAAAATAAAGACAAAGGAAAATTATGCACATTTTGGTGGTGCCATCTTGGGAAGAGAACTACATTAAGACACTGAAGGAAGTTGTGCCACTTCAAATATTTTAGTCAAGATATACGTCTTAGTTATCCAGTGTTGCTGTAACAGAAATACCACAAGTGGGTGGCTTTAACAAACAAATTTATCTTCTCACAGTTTAGGAGACTAGAAGTCTGAATTCAGAGCGCCAGCTCCAGGGGAAGGCTTTCTTTCTCTGTTGGCTCAGGAGGAAAGTCCCTGTCTCTTCAGCTTCTGCTTCCTGGCTCCTTGGAGATCTCCTTGTGTCTTGGTATCTGTCTTACCCCATCTCTCCTCTGCTCACTTGCTTGTTTAATCTCTTTTTATATCTCAAAAGAGGTAGACTTAAGACACACCGTACATTAATCCTGCCTCATTAACATAACAAAGACAACCCATTCCCAAATGGTTTTATAACCAAAGGCTGACCAAAGGTTAGCATTTATAACACATATTTTTGGGGGACACAACTCAATCCATAACAATGTACTATACCACCCTCCTTCATATTACTAACGCTCAGGGTGACAAGTGTCCTGATAATGTAAATAAAAATGCATGATGGGAACTACAAGGCATCCATTCATCTATTATTTAGTCATCAAATATTTGTTGACTACCATGTTTCAAGCATAGAGGTGTAAACAGTGCCTGCCTTCACAGAGCTTGCATTCTAGTAGCTGGAAGCAAATTATATATATAAACAAATTAATTAGATCAGGGTTTCTCAACCTCAGCACTATTGACAGTTTGAACCAGATAGTTCTTTGTTGTGAGGGGCTGTCCTGTGCATTCCTTGACCTTTACTCACTAGATGCCAGTAGCACTGCCCCCCCCCCCATTGTGGCTATCAAAAATGTCCCCAGACATTGTCAAATGTCCCTAGGGAGCAAAATTGCCCCCAGTTGAGAACCACTGAATTAGATGATAATAAATCTTACCTTCTTTCAATTGTGCAGGTTTCATGTATCTGGGAGGAAAGTGAGCAGCAAAACTCGTTCACACTAAAGGGGACAAGGAGGACCACAGAAGATTTTGGCTGTGAAATGTTTTCATCACTTCTCCAGTGGACATCTGTGGTTTTGGCAACTCATCGTCCATTACCCTCCTTCTGGCACCAATTTTTCATGAATCCAGACTTCACTGGTTTAAAGGTTTTAGTAAGCGACGGAGGAGATATGTTTCCGTGAGAAGACACAAAAATGTTGTTGTTGTTGTTAGGTGCCATTGAGTTGGTTCCTACCCTATAGGGCAGAGTAGAACTGCCCTATAGAGTTTCCAAGGAGTGGCTGGTGGATTTGAACTGCCCACCTTTTGGTTAACAGCTGAGCTCTTAAACACTATGCCACAAGGGTTCCAGACACAATAATAGTTCCAAGGAAGTGTCATTTAAGGTTGCGAAACAACAAAAAAAACCCATTGCCATCGAGTTGGTTCCGACTCATAGTGACCGTATAGGACAGAATAGAACCGCTCCATAGGGTTTCCAAGGCTGTAAATCTTTACAGAAGCAGACTGCTACATCTTTCTCTTGTGGAGTGACTGGTGAGTTTGAACCACCAACCTTCAATTTGCAGCTGAGCGCTTAACCACCGCACCACCATGTCTTGCCACCTGGTCTTTTTTTGGGTTCTCTAAAAAAATGGGCAAGATTAGGATTATAGTGTTGGTTAGTACAGTGATTGAGCCTGACTATCAAATAGAAACAGAACTGGTACACAGGAGTGACAGGGGGTAGTAGAAGGAACTTGGGGGTGTCCCTTGTATCACCGTGTCCTAATGAACTGGTTAATGGAAGTGTTGTAACTTCACCTAGGCAGTACCACCAAGGACTCAGACTCTGCACCCCAGTGGGCAAAGAACTCCAACCAGCTGAGATGCTGCCCCAAAGCAACGGGAGCATGGAAAGTGGAGAAAAGAAATCATAAATATCATCTATAGCCAGATGACCTATCGCAGAAACAGAGACAGTGGCTTCCGTATTTCTTTCCTTGCTGTAACATATATGTAGTGGATTTAAAATTGTACAGCTTCTGAATGAAATGTGCAAAAATGTATATTTGTCTGTTTTCCAAAAAGTTTAGTTAACTTAGCATTCAAACCCTTACTGACGATGGTAGAAAATTTTAAATGCCAGTTTGGTTACCAAGTCTCATTTGGACTAAATCCTTACCATCTTTCCTCTCCCCCTTCTCCTTTCCCCCTTTACCTTGAGGTTGATCTTAGTTTCAGGGGGCTTATGTATCAACCTGGTATTGGAGAAGGGCAACTATTCTGTGAGTTGTCCTCTGGGCTAAGTGACCTCCACTAACATGTGGCTTGTCTCATCTCATCTCCATCGTGGTGCTCAGGAATCCACCGCTAACATTCGCAGCTCTGCCTTGGCATCAGGCCTAGATTCCCACATATTCTGTGCATTAGTTAGAGTAACGCTGCTACAAAACCCTCAAAAGTTCAGTGGTTTATTGCAATCGTTTATTTCTGGCTCATAGTCCAGTCCATCGTGGGAGTTCTTAATTGGTAGGTTGCTTTTCTCCAAGCGAAACTCCAGGAACACAGCCGCCTTTCATCTTCTGACTCCACCATTCCTTAAGGCAGAGATTTCCAAACTTGCTTGGTTCATAGTGACTTTAGAGTCTCAATAATATAGTCTCAAGGCCTCAAGCCAAAAGAAATACCTGACATTCCTTTTACTAAGTAGTTAGGTTTAACAGCTTAATAGTACTAATTTGCTCACTATCCTACAGATGGTACTACGTTTCCCTCAACAAATTTAAAATATCCCAAAACACCCCTTGATTTAATTATAGTGTACTCTACTAATATTACTGTTTCCCTTGAGTATTTACTACATTATACCATAGGTACCCCTGTGAGTTCACTGTGATTCCCAAACTGTGTGCAAGAACCATGACCCAAGGGCCTTGGAGTCTTTTCTTCCAGCCAGAAGGGGAAAGAAAACACTCCTGCTTCTTAATCACTTCTGCTCACAATCTATTGGCTAGAACTAGATCCATTGCCATACTTATATGTATCCTTTCACCATACTTATTCAATCTGTATGCTGAGCAGATAATCAGAGAAGCTGGAATATACGAAGAACTCGGCATCAGTATTGGAGAAAGACTCATTAACAACCTGTGATATGCAGATGTCACAACTTTGCTTGCTGAAAGTGAAGAGGACTTGAAGCACTTACTGATGAAGATCAAAGACTATAGTCTACAGTATGGATTACACCTCAGCATAAAGAAAACAAAGATCCTTACAACTGAACCAATAAGCAACATCATGATAAATAGAGAGAAGATTGAACTTGTCAAGCATTTCATTTTACTTGGATCCACAATCAATGCCCATGGAAGCAGCAGTCAAGAAATCAAACACAGGGAGAAGGACTAGAAGGCAGAAGGGGACAGGAAAGCTGGTGATAGGGAACCCGAGGTTGAGTAAGGACGTGTTGACATGTAGTGGGGTTCTTAACCATTGTCATAGGGCAATATGTGTAATGTTTAATGAGAAACTATTTTGTTCTGTGAACCTTCATCTAAAATGAGAAGAGCAGCACAACTGGAAGAACGTAATTGATGTCACTGAATTGTACATGTAGAAATTTTTGAAATAGTGTATCTTTGGCTACGTATATTTTCACAAAAAAAAAAAAAAAAGGTCGAGAAGGGAGAGTGTTGACATGTCATGGGGTTGTTAACCAATGTCATAAAACAATATGTGTACTGACTGTTTAATGAGAAACGTTTGTTCTGTAAACCTTCACCTAAAGTACGATTAAAAAAACAAAATTAAAAAAAAAATCGAACAACGTATTGCATTGGGCAAATCTGCTGCAAAAGACCTCTTTAAAGTGTTCAAAAGCAAAGATGTCACTTTGAGGACTAATGTGCACCTGACTCAAGCCATGGGATTTTCAATTGCCTCATATGCATGCGAAAGCTGGAAAATGAATGAGGAAGACCAAAGAAGAATTGATGCCTTTGAATCGTGGTGTTGGCAAAGAATATTGACTATACCATGGACCGCCAGAAGAACAAACAAATCTGTCTTAGAAGAAGTGCAGACAGAATCCTCCTTAGAAGTGAGGATGGCAAGATCTGATCTCATATACTTTGGTCATGTTATCAGGAGGGACCAGTCCCTGGAGAAGGACGTTATGCTTGGTAAAGCAGAGTCATCGTAAAAGAAGACTCTCGAGATGGATTGACACAGTGGCTGCAACAATGGGCTCAAACACAGCAAGGATTGTGATGATGGCGTAGGACCGGGCAGTGTTTTGTTTTGTTGTGCGTAGGGTGGCTATGAGTTGGAACCCACTCAAGGCATCTAACAACAACAACAGCATATGTCAAAGAGGCTGGGAAATGCAGCCTCTGGCTGGGACGTCATCTGTAAGTATGGCAACAACAGCATACATTTTTTGTGGGCAGGCAGCTGTTTCTGACACATTTGGTAACCTCTCCATTTTGACCCAGATTATTCTGGGCCCTTTGGCACATTCTCAGACCCTGCTGAGCCCTTGGGATGGCCGTCAATGGGAACTTAAAGATACTGTAATCTGGTGTGCACCAATCAGTAAGCCTCAGATTCATCAACCCAAATACTCAGCTGCAATGTGGGCCACAGGGCTCATTTTCAAAACTTGCAATTTCATGGGCTATATTCTGGAACATCTAAACATAGTCTTTTCTTATCTGGGGTAATTCTAGACTTATCTCCAGTTTCTATTACCAAATATTTCTACACCCTGCTCCACCCATCAGGCAGCTGACTCAATCCTTAGAGGAAGAATGGTGCTGGGCCCTTCACATCAAACCACCCTGCATTTCTCTTACCAGGTCTTCAAACTTTTTACTTATTTAGATAGGAACTAACTCTACATTATTATACATTTTATTCTAATTTATTTTTCTTGTCTATGCTTTATGCTTTTTTCTTTCTATCTTTGTCTTTTACTTTCCAAATGTAGGATTCATGGATCTTACATTTTAATGTCATGACTTTGAGAATTTTTTTTTTTTTTTGCCTGCCCCTGTTATTTTTTTCACAATTTCCTTAAACTTCTTCCTCCAGCTCTTTCATAAACTAGATGGATACATCCTTGACTTCCTCTACTTTCTTCTTTGACTTTTAACATTTTAATATCTTCTCTTCATTCCACAGAAAAGAAGTACAAATGACAGATAAGAAACATTAGCAAACCACGACCCTTTTCTAGTGGAGTTTAACCTTGACTGTGGATGAAAATATTGCTGTATTAACTATCCACAGCTCTTCTTTCAAGGTATAAGAAAGGATTGAAGGCTGAACGGTGCTAACCTAACAATGAATAAACGAAAGAGCTTGATAAATATTTGATGAATCCAGCTACTACTTGTATTGTTAAATGAAGACAATAAAAAAATCTTAGCAGGCATTGAATTCTTGGAAAGTGGATAGAAATGAACACTTAGTTAATTTTGACCCATAACCTAGGGTCAAAACCCAAAAAAATGTTACTTGGAAAAGATCATCCATACACCTGTAGTCTGAGAAGGGAGTGGTGTCAAGAGGTATTTGAATACTCTCTCTGTTGTAAAACACGGTCTGCTAGCTTTTCCAATTTAAAGATGAGTCATCAGAAACAACTACTACCACAACATGAAGTCTATGAAAACAAATTTCAGAATGAGGGAAAGGAGGCATCATCCTAAAATCTGAGATATCTAAAATCTATCCATTTTAGGAAGCAAAAGAAAATTTTCAAAAATACTTTGGCATCCTCTATAGGGTGTGAGAGAATAGGACCTCTGTGTACAAACAGAAAAAAAGTTATTCAATGAAAATGGGTTGAGAAGAAAATCCATGAGATGTAAAAAGGAGATGGACAGAATGAGAAAGAGCTGATAGAAAAGTAAAAATTTAATAGAATTCAGATTTTCATTGGATGCTAACAATAAAGAGCAGCAATTGACACTGTTGAAAATTGAGTCAGTAATTTAAAGACAAATTG